TACTTCAGGATGTACTTAGCCATGGTCTTACTCGGAGCCACTCACGGGCTGATATTTCTTCCTGTCTTACTCAGCTACGTAGGTAAGAGTGCTAAAAGAAAATCATATTTTCTGGGCTTGGTGTCACAACCCCTGCAGTCCCGGCACTTGGGAGGTGGAAGGTGAGATCCAGAGTTCAAGGTCATCTACAGTTAGTTTAAGGCCAGCCTAGGCTGAAAGACCCTGACTCAAAAAAGAAATTTTTAATCTTGAACATTCCTTTGTATTTGAATTTGCACTGATGGCCACTTGATAATTGATACTGCATACAAAATTATCCAAGGAAGAAATGAAGTCTTCCCAGGACTTTATGGTTAGCCAGATTAACTGCCCTGTTTACTCTGAAGTCAACTCTTGACTGGCTACTGCCATGAGATGAAGGAGGAAACAGCCAGCCCTCCCAGCAGTCCAGGGTGGTGACTGTCCAGAGCCTGTCAAATGCTATTGCTGCTCTTGGTGATCCCACCTCATCCAAATGGCCTCTGCTTGAAGAGAACAAGAGTGATTCACCTTTCAGCGTTGTTAGGAAGTTGAATCATTAAAACAGAAAATTGAAGGCTGGAGAGATGGTTCAGTGATTAAGAGCACTGGGCACTCTTCCAGAGGACCCAGGGTTTGATCCCGAGCAGCACCCACATGGCAGCTCACAACTGTCTCTAACTCCAGTCTAAGAGAAACTGACACCCTCCTCTGGCCTCTGGGGCGCTGCATACATGTCATGCATGGACATACATACAGGCAAAACACCTGCACACAAAATAGAAAAAAAAAAATCAACAGAACCAGGGCTTTCTTCTATACCTAGATTGTTTATACTTCTTTTCTTTTGTCTCACATAGGACCGTCGGTAACTAAAGCTAAAAGACAGACCACTCAAGATCGATACAAAGGGACAGAGCGAGAACGGCTCCTCAATTTTTAGCCTTGTAGCGGGCTTTGGTGACTTCGTCTATGGATAGGTCAAGTCTACTGCAGGACAGCCACACTGTCCAGGCCGTGCTGGGTGCTGGTTGTTCCCAGGCGATGGGCTGTGTCACAGCTGTGGCAGGTGCAGCCCACCCACCATTTAAACTCAGGAGCTCATGTAGTATGGAATCTGAAGGTGACAGTCGTCAGCCCTACAGCAAAGAAACCTTGTCTCGGGCAAGAGGAAGGACAGTGGATGCGACCCAATCACACTTCTGACAAGCCAGTCCATGTGCTGTCTCCTCTTTTCAGGAGTCAGCCACCACACACATTGTATAGCTTATTTTTAGCAACATTTGAGAATGTTGTAGGTACTTTATTACAACATTTTGTAGTTTAAAGAGCTTTATTAATGCAATAAATTAACTTTGTACATTTTTATATTAAAAACTGTCAAGGGACTTCAGAATGTTGTAGGCCTCATTAGAGCTTGTTCTCCAAAAACCTGCTTGAAAAAGGCGACGTGCTCTTCACAGTGTTCTCCTGTAGGGAGAATGGCTTCAGTCACCAGCCAGCGGTGTGTGGCGTGGAAGGAAATGCAGACAAAAAGCTCCTGGCTTATATACTGATATACTGGGTTTTAACTTATTTTTCTTTAATAAAATACCTCATCCTCCTAAATTTTGAGATCACTAATCTTTTTGCAGAGCTCCTACCTTCAACCCCAGCCAGCTGCCCTGTGTTAAACTACTGGGCGGCTGTGACCTGTCACTCATGCTATCTGCACTACACACACGCACACACACACACACATGTATATATATATAGTAACTCAAGCTTGTTCTCCCTCACGTCTTACTTTATCACCATTTTCGTCTTAAGGGATACTCCAAGATCATATATACAGTATGTCTGAGATGCCTGAATGCCTCAGCCCTGAACAATCCTCTGCTGAGAGCATCAGCATTCTGAATCTACTCAATAGAGACCCCAGTCTAAGGGTGAGGTGGGCTGCTGGGAATGTTCCTAAGTTCCCACCCAGAAGTTGCTCCTGTTGTTTGTGGTCACCCCGGGCCTCTCCCACCTGGTGTGAAGTTAGGGTTCCCTCGCAGACGCTGGTTCCGCTGCTCAAAGAAGCGGAATATGGTGTAGAAGAGCATGACGTCATCAGTCTGCTTGGCGGCATCTAAGAATTTGCGCGCAGAAATGTTGTCATGGCCACCAATGCCTCGGATGAACCTTAGCGCAGCTAACACCTGGTGTTTGGATAAAAGAACTTCCACTATCTCATCGTTTGCTGTTGACAGTCTCTGAAAGTGAGGAAGATGGAGGTCAGGGCAGCCACAGGAAGGGATGCTGGTGACATCTAAAGCTGTGGCAGAACAGTTACCTTCAGCATGTCCAGTGACAGCTGGTGGGCGGGAGGATAAAAGCTTTCGAGGGACAGCAGCAGGCAGGCCTGAAAGACAGGGTTCCAACCACCTTCAGTTGAAAGGCCACCACTGGGAGGCTGTAGTGACTACCAAAGAGAAAAACCAGCGGTACAGACCAAAGGCTTGGAGTCGCTGAGCACGTGGTACTGCAGGAACTGGTGGAGCATGTAAAAGAGGTTGTGCTGGACAAGGGTCTTGATGACAAGTTCGTGTAAGTAATGCTAGGAACACAAGAAAGGTAAAAGACATTACCAAGTCGCTCACCATGGCTGGCTGAGGCTGCAACAGTTTGAACTCCCTCCCAGGCCATAGTTTAGCTGTAACAGTGTTCTCCACCAACACCAAAGTTTCCATCCCCACAAAAACAAATGCCATGTTAAAAACCACCCAAAATTCTGCACACGAAAAAGCTATCTCTTCTTAGACTGGCGGAGTCCTGACCTGATTCCCCTAATGTAGGATAGCAAATACCCTTCTGAAGGTACCTGCACTGGGATCTGGAACTGGTTCAGAGAACGAATATATTCCATCAGCACAGCTATCACAAACTTGTGCGGCATCTCCTACGGAGGAAGGGGTCTTCTCAGTTGTAAAAGAAGCTGCAGGCAGCCCACTGATCTGCAGTAAAGTGGTCCAGTGTTCTACTCTGCTGGAGTTGCATTAGCCCTTGTGAACCGTCCACACTGGAAAGCCCCAGGCCCTCTCCTGTGGCTGCCCCACAAAAGCCAGGAACCCAACACACCTTGTTCTCCACGAACGGCGACAGCACGTGTGTGTACACATCGGACTGGTCCACCACCGCCTGGGTCCGCACCGGCCTTCTGAGAGGCGGGTTGCTCCGGCTCTGCCCTGCTTCTACTGCCTGAAGTGAGACAAGCTATGCCCTTAGTCACCGTCCACAGAAACAGTCCCATTACAGTCAACCTGAGGCTGAATCCTTACCCAAACGAACATGAGCAAGACCTGGGACAGACCAGACACAACTCTGCAAAGCAGAGCTAGTCCTGGCAAACACTCCAGGGTTCGTGCGTGATCAGATTAAATAACCAAGCCACAATCACACATTTTCTAACCTCTGGAGACTTGGAACCAACCTGACTTTCTTTGTTCCTCTTGGCCACTGCACCATCGTTTACGAAGCTCTACCAGACAGTAAAGGAATGGCTCTTGCACTCGGTCTATGTTGGGATTTTTGATTCCTTTTTGTAGTGTTTGAAATGGATCCAGGGCCTCACCAATCTCAACATTTCCAGCACCGTCTAGGTCACAGTCACAGCCCAGTGTGATGGGGATTCAGTGGTGACCGAGCAGAGCTGCTCCTGCTGTGTGTCCCTAGTGAGCATGCTCAACTTCAGTGCAGATGGCTTGTTCTTCATACCTCATCACAGTGTGGAGGCCCAAAACCACTGACCGCAGCCCAGGACACAACCAAACAGGGCTGACACAGGACAGGGACAGAGTGTCCTCTGTGGGTAATCACACCCTTAAACTAATGTCTCCTATTGTCTCAAATGTTCTTGTTTCAGAAACCAGAAGTACACAGTGCTGTACAGCCACACGAATTCCCCCAACCTTTCACTGAACGTGTGATGTCTACTAACTGAAACACACAGTGCTAGGAACTTAACCGACGCCTCTGATACTGATGGCAGCAGTATTCTAGGATATCCTTTTTTGCTAATCTTAGGATAAACCTTCTTGTGGTCCTGCCAATGAATGCAGAGATGTGGCTGCTCAAGACACTGAAGACAGCTGACTGTCAAATACTCATCCCTTTTTGAGGCTCAGAACATCACAAAAGAGGAAACAGGATATAAAAGCCAGAAGACAGGGAAAGGGCTGCAAACTGCTATCTATAGAGCTTGACACAGCTATTGCCAGCATCCCACAACAGCTGCATTGCACTGCACTGGACCTATCAGCAGTCAATCACGGATGTGGGAGAGGCTCACAAGGCCCTAACCCTCCCTGCTGAACTACTGGCTACTGGTGGACTCTGGGGGAGGGACAGTCATGGCCTTCAGGTGTGACCCAACAGTGATCCAGGCTCCAATGGACATTTTCAAACCTCTACTCACAGTCCTCGTTAAAATCTGGTCACGAAACAAACCCATCAAAATGGGGGAAGACACTGGACACTCCTCACACCTCTCCCACACTTCCCTCTAGATAACCTTGTATTTGTAAATACTCGCTAAAGTGAAGGGAAGAAGGTAGCCAACAGTAAAAACCACATCTCTAATTTACCAAGTACAGGCTCTGGCCAAAGCCAAGGGTGATTTTCTTTCTACAAAATAGAAGAACACCAAGAACATAAACACAGGTGAGCTCAAACAGGTTTGAAAAAGCAGAAGAGTGAGGTATTGATCGAAGCCTCAAGCTAGGAGCATGCAGGGACTCGGCCTGTGACTGGCACCCTGTGCTGCCAACACCAAGCCTCTGACATTACATTACATAACCTACACTGTGTGGCAGGACTCCTTCACAATTTAACTTACCGTGGTGTAGCTCTGCTCAGCATCCAAGTACTTTTTATACTCATGGTTGAGTTTATCAAAAACAGTGGCTATCACGGGCAGCGTGGCTCTGTCTGACTCGGCCAGCACTAGAAGGGACAACACATACGTCAGACCCAGTGTAATGAGAATCCCGGTATGGCGGTGACAAGGACTCGCAAAGGTGACCAATGCAAACCCTGTCTTCAAGGACCTTCAAAGAAGCAAGCAAGGCAAGTGTCACTAGAGGGCACTGGGTGTGTAGTCAGATCTCGTCTGAAGCCACCTGCCTACAAATCATTTGTGCGTTTCCCAGTATTTCTGAAGGGTTAAGTAATCCATCCTTCAAATACACAGCCCTAAGTGCAAAAGATGAAAGATGGGGGTAGGGGCACCTGGCGAGATGGCTCAGCAGGCAATAAGCACCCGCCCACCACCAGGCCTGACGGCCTGAGTTCAATCTCAGATCCCAATGCTAGGAGAGCAGACTCCCGTTAAGTGATTCTCTGACATCCAACTGTGTACCATGGCACGTGCCCATACACATATACACACAGGTATAACTATTTTTTTTAAAGGTGGTGGTAGGCTGGGCAGTGATGGTACACATCTTCAGTCCCAGCACTCAGGAGGCAGATAGGGGAGAGGATGGTGGTGAGAGCACAGACCTTGTGGGAAGGACCAGTCCACTTACTCTGTGAACAGACAGATAGGATGACCATCTTGCACTCCTTCCGCTGGAGAAGAAAGTCCATCAACCTCCCTTTATCTGGCAAGAGATTGACTATGGGCTGAAGTTTCACCTGGAGGTTCCAGAGGTAACCTACGGGTTGAGAGGCAGCAAGCTCAGCAACACAGTGCAAGCCAGAGCCAGAGCCAACAAAGAGCACCCCAGACCTCTTCAAACACACAGTTAGTATCCCTGTCTTCCTAACCAACACTCAGGACACTCAGGAAGGTGGCAGATTGGAGGAACTGACAGTCATGCTCTGAGCAAACTGCATTTAGAGTCACACCAGTGTTATCTCCATGGAGACAAGGACAGCACTCCACTCCCTACAACGTGCCCATCCTGGGCCATCACTGTAGATGGCGTACTTAGTTCCTTCTCTGTACTGACTCATAGATACAGAGGTGAGGCCCAAACAATAGTGAGATTGCTATCCACTCACTAGCCTAGGCATGTACTAACAGGCGAGCTGGTTTCTCAGAGTTCCTTGGGAGAAAGGTATGTCACATCAAAAATAATTGGAGGGACCAATTTCTCAGCTTCCAAGATCTGGCACTGTTGTCAATGTATGGAAGAGAAGTGAATTCGTTACTCCCCCCAGAGGATGAGGCTGGAAAATTCCCAAAGTGACTAAAGATTAACTCAGCGTTCTCAAATGCAAAGCCACAGGAAGAGATAAGAGGCTGAAGGAGGGCTCACCAGCAAGACGAAATAAGGGGTGAAGACAAACAGAAGTCCATGGGGAGGTGGAGTTAGGGATGAAAACGCGGACCACTCATGATGTGGGAAGGTCATTTGTCAATCTGTTGTTTCATTGGTTAATCAATAAAGAAAACTGCTTGGCCTGATAGGTCGGAAAATTAGGTAGGTGGAGTAGACAGAACAGAATGCTGGGAAGAAGGAAGTTAGGCAGACGCCATGCCGCTCATCTCCAGGGCAGACGCGATGAAACTCCAGCCCAAGATGGACGTACACTAGAATCCTTTCTGGTAAGCTACCACCTCGTGGTGCTACACAGATTAT